ATGGGAAGGAAGATATGATATTTTTATAAGACTGTAGAAATGGGAAGGAAAATATGATATTTTTATAAGACTGTAGAAATGGGAAGAAAGATATGATATTTTTATAAGGCTGTAGAAATGGGAAGGAAAATATGATATTTTTATAAGACTGTAGAAATGGGAAGAAAGATATGATATTTTTATAAGACTGTAGAAATGGAAGGAAGATATGGTAATATGGTATTTTTATAAGACTGTAGAAATGGGAAGGAAGATATGATATTTTTATAAGACTGTAGAAATGGGAAGGAAGATATGATCAAGCGGAATTTTTTGCATAAATAAAATATGATTTAAAATGACTAGATCATTCACCGTTATCAGGATTTTTTAAGGTCAAATTCGTTATAAAATATATGAACGAAAAATTGTTGTAAATTTAAAATTTCACGAATTAAATAATATAATTAGGCGATAAAGCAATCAAAAACTTAATATTTAATTTAATTTAAGACTTTATTTTCTTCATTTTTTTGGTTTAATATTTTAAATATTTTATTATTAAATCGTTTCATATTCGAGAATTTTATAAAATCAAAAAATCTTTAACTTTTTATTGGACAAACATTTTTTCATATATCTATTTTATGTTTTTGCATATTTATAAGAAAACGGCCGTTAAATTATTGGTATAATAATTGCAATAATAACGTCTTTTAACTAGCAGATTTTTATTTTTTATTTTTTCACATATCACTGAGATTTATTTATTTAGCAATATGACACATGTATATTTCTTTTAATTGAGATTTTTGAAAATTCATCAAGTGGTTCAATAATCGTAAATTACCATCTGAACATTTACGTACTGTGCAAATTTGTTAAAGGATGCAATGCAACAAACACACAAACGATGGATCCAGAAGCACTGATATGAGAAAGTATCTGTGGTTTAGAAGCGGTGATTTCAACTTCAACTTACAGACACCCAAAAATCTGAGATATACTGAGCATGAAATCGATAAAAAAATGTATTATGTAGAAAAAATGTTCCATCTCTGGGAATTCAAGCAAACTTGATGTGTAACTTCCGCATAAACTAGCCGAAGAACATATGCTTAATCGTCAAACACTGTATTGCTTTTCTTCTTCTTAGGACAAGAGAAGGAACAGTTTTTGAACATAATATCAATATGACGAAAAGTGGGTATTCTGCTATCTATTTATAAAGTCAAATAAACGGTCATTTTATGCCTATTACGAATGGCCACTCGCCTTCAAGAACAAATTCAAATTCCGCCGAAATTGCCTGCAGTAGCTGGTAGGAAATATGTAACCCTGCAATGACATGCTTCAACAAACCAAAAAACCAGGATTCAAGAAATCCACCTTGCCCACCTTATTGTTTCCACTATTGATTTCCATTTCAGATCGGATATCCGCAACTGTGCAAAAGTTATAAAAATTTAAAAAAATGGCATTAAACCTACTTGCAAATCCAAGGAAATAAGCTTCTATAAAAAAGAATCCATGAAGCGGTTCCTTTTAAATAATAGATAGGAAAAAAGTCGTAGAAAACGATGGTTTAGCTATAATTAATTAATATTTTGATTTTAATAGAAATATGGTGTTATTAATGCAATAATTTCAGAATATTTTATACAATTAAAATATTAATATTCTATATATTTAAATTTCAAATTAATCAATTATTATTAAAATTATTTCCACTTTTCTAGGATAAGTTCTTCGATATAACTCGAAAGTTTTGTAAATTTACGCATTGTAAAGAAATTTGAAATTTTTAAAAAAATCTATCATCTAAGATATTTTCTATTTTTTAAAGAATTTTCACTATTACTGATTAAACTCGCTCCGCTGTCTTGTCGCACTGGACAAAAATGCCAGGGAGTCCCTTGGCGATAGAAATACAGGTGAGTCACCAGCATCACTGATTTTTGGGCAGGTTTACTCCTGCGGGGAATAGAATCTTAGCATTTGATTAGTATTGCACTCCGAATTGAGCAACAACCTCCTAAGCCATTCTATCCCCCAATATATTTTCTAGAAGCTTCAATTAATTAGTCATTGCTTTTTTTTAGTTCATTTCCCATTACATAATTTTGTGTTAATATATAAATATTAATGATGGAAATGAACGGAATTTTTTGTTTTTGGAAAAACCCCTCTTGGATGCTCATTTTGGCATTAAAGTGAAATAATATTTAAAATAAAGCAAAATTTTACAGGTACTTTTCGCAATGTTATCATTATTTTATGTTTGTCGCGTCATTAATAACGACGATTTTCTTAATTTCTATCAATATAATAATTTTAACTTCAGTACACGCTATTGGTAATAACCAAATTCCTTATGAAATTAGCCATGTAAGTTGTTTATGTTCTAAGTTGTTTCTTTTTTAGTTTTGACATATCTAGGATAGTCGAAAATGAGTGAAAATTAATTGCTACTTAAAAATTTTGGCGACGAAATTCTTTTAAAGTCATTGATATTTTTCTATTTATGCATAAATGATAGGTGGATAGAAGTTGGTTTATAGGAAGGTACAAAATGTTTGTCGAAATGAGATGTTATTTCAACCATGAATTCAAGTATGATGAGGGGTTGAAATAAGGACCTGCTTTTGTGGGCGAAAAAACTACGTTATTAAAAATGAAAGCTGGAGATGCTAAGGATATACATCGCTAAATAAACTCCTTTTTTTTAAGTTTCTCTACAAAGAGTCCCATTCTTAAACCAGAAATTACCGTCACATGTCACTTAAACCAGAAATGGTGAAAAATTAACCCGAAAAAAAAGAAATCATTTAAGGAAAAATTATTTGAAATTATCAGCTGCTTTGGAAAAAAGAGAGTTTCAGGTTTGTATAAGCGTGAAATTTCCTAATCGTTTAATAAGGGCGAGGTTGGAGACAAGTGCGATAGATCATTTAAGTAATGAAACAGATCGATTTATCTGTAAACCGATTTGGGATGATGGTGGCTTTGGGCTTGGTATCAACAGATATGAAGCTGGACCGTGGCAAACACGACTAAAACTATCCAACCAAAAGATGATGGTATAATCTTTCCTCATGTTAAAAAGTATAAAAGCAAGAATAAGCGTTTCAGTGGATTACAAACCAAAGTTTCTCGTGTATTTAGCTAGAATTACACTTGAAAATATGGTTTTAAGGCAAGAACAAAACAATAGATCAATATATAATAAGTGAAATCATTCTAGTCAGATCCAAGCGTAATTTAATTAACCAATTTAAGCACCATATTTTTCATTTATTTATTTATGCAAAGAACCAAGCAGAACTGTCTGCTCGTCGAACACGAAATACAAACTAAAGTATACAATTTTTCGACAAGAATGCAAAATACAAAAATGCAAATGCAAAATTAAGACTTACTTTTTACTTTGAAACTAATTTTAAAATTGGGGAGCAAGGTAAATTAAATTGAATTAAACTGAATAAGGTGAATTAAATTGTTGAGTTGTTGATGGAAAAGCAAAATTATAACAATCGCAGACTTATGTTAAAAATTACAATATGATAGCAATAACCTTTAAATAAAATTCTGAGTCGGTAGCTTACTTTTAAGGATCATTTTTATATGCATTTCAAACATGTGGCGAAGTTCGCTACACTGCTGATGCCAAAGCAACAACAAACATGAAAAAGATAATAGTTCGAAATTAAAAAATATGGATGAGACAAAAATAAATTAATCAAATGTGTAAGACCAATGGGCTGAAATTCTTAGATAATTCAGTAATTTCTTAATTTTTATCCTCCATTAAAATTGAGGGCACATGTTATATCGATAGGTAATTTATTTCAATAATGAAATTGTCAATTGTTGCGAAACTTGATAAGACGAATTTAAAAAGGAAGGTGTGCCAGTGGCCTGGGGAACATGGTGGCAACTGAGATCTACTTGGATACGGATCCCTAGGCAGCGCTTTCGGCTAGGAGTATTGCGAAGCGGAGAAAACAAAGTGTGGATTCGAGTAATTTACTTTGTCGCGATTATTGTTATAAAGGACCAACTGATGAAATGAGGTTGATGAAGTACGTAAGAAGAATAAGCGGGCTGACTCCAAAATTAGTTTTTTGCTTTTGCCGTTTCGCGACAAATATTGCGCTTAAAGAAGTTATCACTCACTTTGATAATCCATTGCCCATTGGTTTATACAAGGAAGTAAACATAAACGTAAATAAATATATTATTGCTATATTTAAAAATGCATATCCAAAATTTAATATTAGATTTAATTTAAGATTTCAAATGTTTTATATAAATAATCATCCATAGGCAACGAAAATATTAGGCAAATTTTTTATGTTAACGTTTGCTTGCGAAAAAAAAGTTTTATGGATAGGCGATCTCAACTCAAATATTGATGGACTACAGTGATCGACAGTATCCGCATCATCTTTTGCTATATGATTATGCAGTTTTTCAAAGATCAATTTCATTTTCAAGGAAACTGATCTGCGATAGGAATGCGAGGTCGCAATGGTGAGTTCCAAAGACACTTAGGTTTCATTTCATTCTGCAAAATTTAATTTTATAAGTTTTTAGGCTATTTATACGTGGTTTCAATAAACTTCCATGGCCATACTATACGATATGTAGCGAATCTTGGAAAATGCAAAAAGCGAGATTAATTGACTGCTATGAACCAAAAGAAATCCAGAAAAAAGATTTGTTGTACATTTAAGGTAAATCTGACATTTCGACACTTCTATGAGCCCATAAATCCATAAACAATAACAAAAGAATTTAGAACAATGTTAATTGAAAGAATCAAGCTAAATAGCGATCCGATAATCGAATAAATCGATAAAAGTTAAAATTATGTAGAGCAACTTGAGATGAAAATGCGTAAAAGTAACCTCATCAACCATTAGTGTCTGAATTACTGCAAAAAATTCTGAAAAGGCCAGCCGAAATTGCGGAAAATTCGAGATCTAAATTAGCTTTTTCCCTTCTTCTAATAGAACCGACTTTTCTGGCTTATCTCATCCCACTAGCTTCTAGGATAAAGTTATCACCAGAGAGCCAGTTAGAGATATTTGGGATCACCCATCTAAAGCCATTCATTCTTCAATTTTAACGATAGGTCTCACATTAAGCTGTTAGAATCATTAATTCTTAATGCTCATTCTTAGCCAAGCCAACATACCAATCCGTCATTTTCCACTTTGCTGTGCTATAAAAAACACAGGACGATTGGGATAGAATATTCTTGGATACCTTGCCAAACATTTGTCTTTCTTGATAGTTTTTATTTGTATAATATCGATGATACTTTTTTTTCCAAGAATAAAATTTCATAGAACTGACTTTTTAATCCAAATTTTTAATCTAAAAGTTTCTTTGCAAAGCCTCTTGCATTATAGTTGAAAAAAGCCAAAAAGTTCAAGAAAAGCAAATAGTAAACTTAATAAAATAAAAGAAAACTCAGAAAAGAGTGCAAAATCAAATTGGACTGAAAAAAGGTTTCTATCGAGTTTCGTTAAATATTTCGGGCAAAACACTATTTTTTCTATGAATCGCTTCAGCACTTCGTTACAATGATATATAATACTCAATGAATATAAATGAAACCTCAAATCCATAAGTCATCATTAATCAAATATGCTGACAATGCCGATAAATTTTTTTATAGGAATTTTAAAATATTATATATAAAATATTTGATTAAATATAAAATATTATAAAATATTCGTATAAAAAAAATATATTAATATTTGATTAAAAACTGAACTTGGTAAGCTTCCGCTTTTTCTGCTTCTAAACCACTGTCCACTATTGTTAGCCACTATTAGGATGAAAGTCGTGAAAGGTAGATTAAGCATCACCGTACTTCACTTTTGATATCAGGTTTGTTCCCGCTTTAAGAAAATTTTGACCTGAGAGACCCGAGAGATCTTGCGACCATCCATCCGATCGCTCAGATTTATGACCATAAATAAACAGTATATGACTTAGTTGAATATATCGCCATAAAAAATCCTCGTTTAGAATTCAGTTTTTTTTGAGAAATACGATCTTACCAACGAAAATCTATGAAAATAAATTTTTTTGTTCATCTCTGGTTTGCTTGGTTTCTTGTCGATTTGATATCACTTCATAATTTTTTTCTCTACTAAACTTGTAAAAAATAAATATTTTACAATATTCAGTATTGAATTTATTCAATTTTTCACATAAATTTATTGATACTTTACAAATTAATTTTTTTAATAAAATAATTTTATAAACTATTGTAAAATTTTAAGCATGTTTTAAGCATGTAATTCCACACTTCTATTATACATGAATAATATTATAAAATATTATGCTTATCTTCCACAGGAGTAAACCTGACATACCAAAAATCTGGGTTGCTATTGAGTACCCATCTGTAACTCTATCCCCAATTGATTCTACGGTTAAAGGGTCAAATGAAGGCTCTAAACATTGCGTCCGCGTTCTCCGACACGTATTTTCCTATGCTATACCTAGTACCATGGAATGCTTATGAATGGCAAACCAAGCGATTACTCTCCACACTCTTTCTAGATATCGTCTGGATATCACCTGTTTTCGGCTCTCGAGTGACTATTAATCCTGACTCGGGGCATAGGTACTGGGCATGTCACTGTGACACTTCGGATGACTCGGGGCGAAGTGGAATAGCGATTGCCTTGTCTGAAAGGAACCATTCCGCTTTGATTGAGTGGAAAACGATAAGCGATCGTATGACTGCTTTAAAGGTAAGTTCTGTAATACCTCGGACATCAGTGCCCATATGCTCCTATTTTGTATGCAGAAAGCCGTAACACTGAACTCTATGTGGAACTTCAACTTCAATTGCTAGAAAAATTTCCACCAAAACATGACAATCGGAGGAGATTGGAGTGCGTGCGTGGGTCATAATGCAGCTGCGATGACCTCAATAATTGGCAAATATGGCATCGCAGATCGGTGCACCAATGAGGAATGCAATTCTTCGCTATGCCGAAAAGAAATTAAGAGAAATTTTTAATACTTGCACCCAGCATCGTAAAAAACATCTGATCACATAGAATTCCCCGGACAATCAACACATCAACCAGATCTTAGTTAATCGCTGCTGGAATATTCCGTACTAGATAATTGTTCCTGTCGCAGCACTGAAACGTGAAATCATGGATCAGACCATGTTATGGTTCGAACCAAAATTCGCATTAAATTAACAACTAGCAAGGAACATTCTCCAAGATTTTTCAACTATCTCAGACTAAAAAATTTGGGGAGAGTGAGCACATTTCAAAATTATTGAAGGATCTCAATGGTATAAATATTGATGATTTTTCTGGAACAGCAAATGAATATTGGTCCAAACTAAAGGAATGTCTTTGAAAGTCAGCCACTTCTACGCTATGGCTAGTAGGAAGTGCGCTAGTTGTGTGTCGGGAGCAACTGTCTAACTATTCGAAAAAGCTGCAAAAGCCCGAGTCTCAGGAGATCTTGACTATCGGTAGCTTCGAAGAATTACAACGATAGCAGCACGGCAGGACAAAAATCAGTATTGAAGCGACATGGCCTTAAGAGCAGGGATTGTAGTTCGATTAGGCTATAGTATGAAACTTCGGTTCCGCCTTCTTCATAAAGTAATTATAACTCGGGAACGATCAGTGAAATGAAAAGGAATAGCAGTGGTGTGACTGTTAAGAGTATTAAGGATCGCCTCATAAGATCGAAAAAATTCTTTGAGGCTTAATCATGATGTGCGACCCCCATATAGCTGATAACACAGTTTGCAATTGCGAACCGTCAAAAGAAAAAAATCTCCGTTAAAGAAATAAGCTTAAGGCCAATAAGACTCCAAGGGAAGATGATCTTCAGGCTGAACTTTCCAAATGTATCTATCGTTCTTCAGTAATGCAAGAAATGAACAAATGCACTTTCTGGTATGGAAAAACGAATTATAACCAGATGACTGGAGCAAAGCAATCTGTTTCCAATTCCCAGGAAAGAAGACACGGCATACTGTAACAATTATCATCGAATCAGACGTTTCAGCGAAAATTTTTGCTTCCCTTTTACTCAATAGACTTATGGTAATGTGGGACAGCAGGATATGCCCTAATCAAGGTTGATTCAGGTCGAGCGCGATTGTGCTGACCAGATATTCATAAAAAGGATGTTGGAACATCGCTTCAGATATTTGCAACCCATTATCATTGATTTTGCGGCTGTTTTCGATTCAATTGTTAGAACGGTCCTCTGGAGGGTGATGGAGCTTAATGGTATTCCAGAGAAGATCATTCGACTCATAAAGGTATTTTGTCAGCATCGGCGCAGGTCTACATATATGGGGAACTGACAGATTCTTTCGAAATAAGAACTGGTATCCGTCAGAACAGCTTCTTTTTTTCTACAGTATTCAATTGTGCCATAGAGTGGATAATAAACATCGCTTGTCAAGATATGACCAAATCAGTCCAGAGCATCGTATCACAGATCTTGATAAGCTGATGATGTAGTCCTTTTTGCTGACAGTTATGACGAAATACAAATAGTGCTAACCAACAAATGCAGAACTGGAGACTCACGATCAATATAAATAAAACGAAAGCCTTTTCGTCTTATATACAAGAAAGCTGATAAAATCTTTTTATAAACATATTGCCAATTGAGGAAGTGCCTGATTTAAATACCCTAGATCCACTTTAATACCGAATAGCCAGGAAAAAGACGGAACTACAATCCAGATAACGGCAGCTAGAAATGCATTCTTCCGGTTGACGAAATTTTCATGGAGCCGTCGTGCCACCATAAAACGAAAGTCCGCATCTATATAGCCTTGATTCGTTCAATCTTTGTGGCTGTAAGCCATGGCCAATGAGAATGGAGGATATTAAGAAGCTATCTGCTTCCCTTGTCTAAATTAAATCTTCCCCGAGTGGATAAAATCTCACGTGATCGCATGCACTCGTTCAAATACCATTTGCATTAACCATAAGAGCATTGGTCTTAGACGATGGAAAAAGGAATGGCTTCTATTATTGTTGGTGATGGTTTAGATCGCATCTCACCCTTGTAACCAGTAGCCAGCTTAACCAGCTATGGTTAGAGCTGTTAGAAGAAGAAGACAATTTCCATACTTCTATATTTAATAAATTATTATCTATAAACAATAAATTTTTGGGTTATAAACATTATTTAAAGTATTGATTGAAGTAAAAGTTAGCATAAAATATATTTATATAATTCAGTTTATTTCCCCAAGAGTATCATGTAACTTGATTTGCCATTTATTCCACTTGTCATTTAAATTTGATATTATTGTGCCGCGTAATTTTCGCGTTTATGCGCTCAAGCGTCCACCATTATTATGCTATTCGTTATATCATAAGCTTATAAAACTTATTATCGATCCTCGATCCCTAAGAATAGATGAAAATAACCTTTTTTTAAATCTGAGCAATGGATAAAATTCCGATGTTTAAATTTCCATCTGTCTGTTAGATAAAACTCATATATAATAATTGATTGTGAAATTATGAATAATTCAATTAAATGTAAGGTTTATTCAATTCACATTCATTATGTGTATCATCGAGTGACTTGAGAAGACTGAGGGATTAAGAACGTAATAATCTGAAAGAACGCAGGTGCTCTTCAACGAAATGATCAATCGAGATTGGTCTCACTTCAATATTTTCTTCGTATTTTTCGCCACATCCATTGTTCATTTTTTAGTTTTTTTTATTATTATTATAAATTATCATTGAAAATTTTTTTCTCCGATAATATCATTTTTAAGGCTTAACAATTGACTATTGACAATTGTTAAACCACGTGAGTTGAATTTTTTATTTTATTTTATTTTATTCATTTATTCATTTATTTGTTTGTTAGATTTCAGTTCATGGCAATTAAAAAAAGTTCTTCCTAAATAAAAATAAAAGAATGTAATGGCTCAGTACTAGATTGTTGCTCAGTCGGGAATCCGATGCTGAGGTTCGGTTCCCTGCAGGAGTAAACCTGTACAAAAATCCGGGTGATGCTGGCGACTCATTTCTATCGCCAACCCCTTGGCATATTGCCCAATTGCGGCAAGCCAGTGGAGCGAGTTTAACCGGTGATGGTATAAATAATAAGCTGAGTAAAGAAGTTGGACTATTGCATGTTCATTACCTTAAGGATGCAGAAGGTTAGGAAATATGCAGCTTACGAAAAATTAAAAATGCTGCAAAATATACGTAAATGATATTTTAAAATACAAATTTGATCGCTCTTAGAGGTGCTGGCGATTCATTTGCACTTCTATCCTCAAACGACTTTCTGTCAAAAGGATTCCACTCTTTGAAAAAATATAGCATAATTCTACAAAGGCTGTCGGACGAAAACGATGAAAACAGTTTATCCATCCAGAATAAGCATTATTGGTTAGCTCCACTTAGTTAGTTCTTACTCTTCTCATTTACTAGTATATGTTCACTCAGACTATTTTAATAATGGTTAATGACTAAATATTTTTGCTTATGATAAACCAATAAATATTTATTACTGGAGTGATTTCGAGATGAAACAATTTTCGTTTCGCAGTTTTATTTCTCAGTAGAATCAGATTAATGTGGTTTTTTCTTCCAGCAAAGAACTAAAATTACATGGAACCATTATGTTTAGTTATTTTTATTCATTTTTATCACGCAAACAATGCCATAAAAGTCCAAGGAGCCGTTTCGAACCAAAGTACTTGTTAGTTGCTTTTTGCTACTTCTATTTCAACGTTTTGAAGAAAAGTTCATCTGATGGAGAATCTTGATTAGCAGACCTTTAGAGACGGAAGAAACTTGATGGAGTTTTTGGCAAATTAATTTTGCAAACGATTAGAATATTTATTAAACAGGAAAAAAATAAGTTTTAAAAAAATTTTGAAATATAAACCAGAGAAATTTTTTTCTTGCAAATTATCTCATGGAGTGTAAAGCAGTTGGTTATATCGTCTAAGTGATACACAAATAATCTTAGACTAAATAAATTAATAAAATCCGAAAGATAATTTAGGCTCTAAAGAAGAATGAACCTAATATTACAAAAAGGAATCATAGGCTTAGGCTTAGGCTATTTTGCTAGTCAGTTAAGAATAGAATTACTGGTAAATCCTCAAATCAAGTGGATTCCACTTTCAATTGATTCCAATGATTTACGCCCATCAAAAGGCCATAACGGCTCGACTTTAGACGAAGCACACCCTATCATTAGATATAGATATATTTTACAACAATCCAGCAATTTTTGAATATTATGAACGACTAATGTTACGAATTTCACCAGATAAATGTGCAATGTCAAAAATTAATTTATAGCTGAAGAACTGAATCAAATGCCGCGTAAAATTACAACACATGGTCTAATTGAAGGTTATTATCTAAAACATAACGGTCAAATATTCGAAGTATATGAAGCTGTGCCATACGCTCAGCCACCAGTGGCCGATTTACGTTTTAAAGTATAAATTTTTTTTTTCACCGCATTTTCAATTTCCAGTAAAAAAAATAAAAGGATGAAGTAAAAAAGAAGGATGAAGTAAAAAGAGTTTGCTAATGAATTCCTCGACCAAACTGTATTTATCCATCCATTATTAATGGATTCACCACGCATCTATACTCAAGAAAATCAAAGTATTATTACTGATTTTTTATATTCCAGTCACCCTTACCACTGACACCATGGGATGACATTAAAAACTGCGGGAAAGGACAGAGGAAGCACTGTGTCGATTTTCGATTCAATTTGAACAAGAATCAAGGCTTAGAAGATTGCTTATACATGGATATAATACTACCAGCGGAGCAAGTTATATTTCATAATCTATTTAAATATTCATCCATTTTTCTTTAATTAAATCTACATTACTCAATATAATATTTTTAAATAATTTTAATCCATTCACTCCTGCTACAGGGTTTTCTGAAGAATACCACGGGATAAGGTTCATAGGATGTTACAAGTATGAGCAAATATAGTATAAGAATTTTAAAAAAATTTGAGTGATAGGAAAGAATAAACATAAAAATGAAATAAAAGCGCAAAAATATATTGAAATTTTGTAAAGGATCAATCAACGAACTCATCTGCATTGCCAATTCTAATCTGGATTCAAGGAATATCCTACCAGGTATATTCCCAGAATCTTTTGTTGCTTTTACTTTTTACTCCAGTGATCCATTATAGGATGTTTGGGAATAAAAATAGATTCGACAAATTCGTTAAATTCTAATCATTTTAATAAATATTTTATCCCTTTATTCAATGTATATATATTTTATTTTTTTATTCAATGTATATTTCTTCCTAATTTCTAATTCTGCTTAATTTTTCTGAATTTTATTCAGATTCACAGCAAAGATGAATATTCGTTCGCAAGTATAGCAGAGAATTTTGCTGCTTATAGCATCATATTCATTTCGATAAATTACAGGCTTGGTCCTCTCGGTAAAGTATTGAAGATATTGCAATTAATTAAAAAGAGCCAATGATGTTTATTTATAGGTTTAGTCTCTTTTAGTAAACGCTCACATATTTTTCAGAGATAATGTATTATTAATACCACCAACAATTTTCTAAAAGTTTTATAGGCTTTTTGAGTGGTGGTCATAGAGATTTGCCTGGAAATTTCGGGCTGGATGATCAAATCGAAGCTTTACGCTGGATAAAAAATAATGCAAAAAATTTCCATGGTGATCCTGATAATATAGTCTTAGCCGGAGAAAGTTGCGGGGCTAGCAGTGCAAGCCTTTTATCTGTGTCACCTAAAACTTTTGGTTAGATTTTCGATGTGAGAATTGTTATTCAAATTACCTAAGCTTTATCTTTTATCTTTTTATCTTTACTGATAAAAAAATGAGCGATTTGATGAACTTTTATATAAATATTAAGAAAGAAACCATAAACTGAAAAAAAGGTTCAAGAAAATGCAATGCCGTTACTCATAAAATCTGAATTAAAGAAAGTTAAGTTTAAGCACATTGAAAATAAAAAAATCGAGTGGACCCACTTGCACTTCTATCCCGAAATAAGTGACTCTCTTGCGAAAGTCTCTTATTTTAATGATCAGTGGAGTTATTCAAACTAGAAAGAGCTTTATAAAATAAAATAAAATAAATAAAATATAGAACATAGACAATTGAAAATAAAATTTAAACGTTTGGAACAGTTAAGAAACCATGAAAAAAACTAAATCCTCTCAATAATGAGTTAGGGAAGATTATGTCAATAATTTTGAAAACTAGCTCTTAACAAAGCAGTTTCTTTAATATTTCAAAAATTTTATTACCTCGTCACAGAAATAAATTGGCGACACAAGTGAGTTCCCACTGCTCACTTACTGTCAAATTTTCAAGATCTTTCAAGCTTTAATCCTATTCATACAAACTATGAATTTATTCTATAACACATCGATAAATCGGGCAATCGGCCAAGACTAAGAAGCCCATAAAAAATTTTATGATAGACTGCATCAAATAAAGATTTTCAATGATTTCCAGTACATATTTCAGGTCTATTCAGTGCTGCAGTACTCAGAAGTGGTAGCGGATTAGCACCTTGGGCTGTAAGATCGACTTCAACTGAAAACAATTCTGCTCGTTTCATAGATTACCTTGGATGCACTTACAATCATACTTTGGGCATGTCACATATAATCGATTGCTTGCAACAACTTAACATTACCAAATTATTCGAAGGATGGCTGTACATTGCACAAACATCGTCAAAAGTGGTATGGAAATGAGAGCTTAATTTAATTAATTTATCATTATATTAGGATTTTTGTCGCACCATTTGCTGCAACAATCAAGATTTGTTATTTATGGATAATTTGATTTGATTTGATTAAGTTTAAAGACCTTACGCCATCGAATATTTCATATATTCCTTCCGCAACTTTGAATTCATTATTGGAAGCCGTTAATTTTTATTATTTTTTTAATAACTGAAATTTGTTTAATAAATTTGTCTAATAATAGATGAATTTTATGAAAAGGAATCGCATCTTTTGGGTCATACTTACTTTACTCCAACTATTGATTTATATCGGATTGATGAAAGCATTATTCCCTGTGAACCAACGGTCCTCATTCAAAAAAACGCTCGAATCCCAATCATGATCGGTGTGACAAATACCGAATCAGCATTTTTATTGAAAAATAATCGTAAATTTTATTTTTATTCACTAGATTTTATCAATAGATTGAATTATATTCAATTTTAAAAAGATTTTAATTTTTAAGGATTTTAAAAAGATTCAATTTTATATTATTCTAGCAGCCATTTTTATTTTATATATTATATTTTATTGCCTGACAAAAGGATTGGGAATGCTACCAGACTCTAAATTTACCTTCATAATTAGGCCTAATCATTAGTTCCCCCATTGTCCATTTCCCTTTAGGCTGGCTCTGCTGAGCAACACGAATGAGACCCTTTCAATGAATTATGGAGGATAGAACTACAGCACATGATTCCATAGCACTGGACCTTACTTTTAATTTCAATATTTCAAATTAAAATTCACTTCTGTCAGAAGGCCTATTATATTTCATCTGAGGCAATATATCACACCATTCGGCTACTTTCCACTCTATTCGATGAAAAAAAATCAGTAAAATCAGTAAAATCAGTAAAAATCAGTTATTCAATGGATAAATTTTATTGTAGCTGAGGGAAACCGATTAAGTTCAAATGACGAATGGAATTTGAATCAAGTTATTTCACCAAATTTGTATGCAAATTATAGACATGTGAGTTTTTTAAAAATTTTTAAATCATGTTGTACATCTTCACTTTTAAATAAAATTTTTTAAAACATTTGAATAATAATATAAATAATAATAATTTTAAATAATTGATAAATAATTGAGAAAGTGCAATAATAGCAATAATAGAACAACAGCAATAGCAGTATTGCTGGTAATATGTGGTAATAATGGTGTTAGTGCCTATCATTTCTTAGACACTGCTGCCTATTGGTTCGGTTAAAATTTTTCCCAGTTGGGACAATTACATTTGGCGACAACTGGACCAGCATTTTCAATGGCAAATTTGCTCATATATGCTTCCGTATTATTTCCATTTTTGTTCATAAGACAAAAAAAAAGAAAATGAATTACGATTTGAGCCTTTGGGAAAAATTTATGGAAAAATAAAAAGTGAAGCAGTGAAAAAATATTAATCGCAATTAAGTATGTTTTAGATTCAGAAAGCAATTGAATTTCATTATATGAGTAATAATCAGTATTTTGATGAAACAGATCATTTGTTAACAAAAATCGTTACAGGTAACAATTAATTATCAAATTGCTACGAATCTTTTAATATTTCTTGTTTTTAATTTGTTGTACCTTTAGGATAAAAATCTTCCTTGGTAGAATCATTTGTGGATAGAAATACATATAAATCAAGGGATATTTGAGGATTGGCGAATCCCCAAAGGGCTAAACATATTCCCAGTAATGTGAATTTAATGGAAATGAATAGTTAAAAGAATAGAAAAAATTATAGGTTCATTATAATTTGTCTATTAGTATGTATGTAAAGCAATCGTTCCAAAAACTGCGCAATTGCGATTCCCTCATATCTTTTTGAAACCCTTTTATACCTTCTTAACCATCTCTAACTCAAATAATAGAAGAATGCGGTTCACGAATTGGGAAATCGCGATACTTCTTTAAAACTTTCCTACATTCTATTATAAGTCCTCTGTCCAGAAGATTGTACTACTGGAAACAGCTAAGGGCTGCCTAGAACCCTCAAATTTCCGGACTTCTGGTATAGGACTCGAGGATAACCCACACCGTCCAAACGGCTTGAGAAAAGGGAATTTTTTGAAGTTACTGAAAATTTTGCATTCTGAAAAAAAATGGATTCAATAAATTTATGAGATTACAACAAAGACTTATCTGAGTTTTTGTTGCCAATAAAACTGATGAACGGCTATATTTTTAGATGAAAATTTCAAGGCTCCAGCTGCACGAGAAGCAATGTTCTATGCTTCAAAAAATCTCACTGTTTATGCATATAGCTTTCAATACGTCAGCGATTCATTAAATAGCCATTCAACAAAAGCTCATCGTAAGCTCATTTTTCTTCCACAATTAGCGATTCGAAATGAGTTTTGGGCAAATTAACGACTTCTTTTTGAAAGCGTTTGTAATTTTCGAACCATTTTGACATTTTGATTTGGTTTAATAGAAATTGTATAGATCAAGTTGCCCATGGAGACGATTCGATGTACTTGTTTCATGCTACTAAATTTTTGCAGTGGAGTGAATCAGACAGAAATGTTGCAAAACGCCTTTCTCATCAAATTGTTAACTTCCTCCATGTTAGGTTAGAATCAATCATATGAAATAATATCGTATCATGCAAGAAGAAATCTGTTGACTATTTCTAATTTTCTAACTGACATTTCACTTGCTGCAACGAAAGTGTTAAAGTTTGAGATTATCTTTCTATTAAATAAATATTTTTCAGATCAACTGGCGAGCCACAGGCTTTGCCATATACATTGCTTCATAAAGTAGCCACATCTATTACTGGTCCATCATCCGATGAACAAATTGATTTTTACACAGACGTTTCATATTTCTGGTACGAAACCATTCCAACAATAGAAATGCTAAATCTCGAACCACAGTATCGAGTATTACTTCAACCTTGTACGATGTGCGAATATCCATACAAAATACCTTTTTATATTATACTTATACTGCTCGTAAGTTTTCTTTGTTTTCGTTTTTGAATTCATAAAATAATTTTTTAAAGGCAAATAAATAGGCTTACCAGATCATTAAAAATATAACAAAAAGACTTTTAAAAAGTATGATGACCATTTATTTATTTTTAATATTTTTTCAGTTACTATTAATTATATTATTATAATTTTTATCACATTATATTTTCTTCTTCTAACAGCTCTTATCATTACTGGTTAGGCTGCTGGCTACAACGGTAAGACGCCTTCAAGCTGCTCTGTCCGACGCCGTTGCTAGTAGTAATAGAAGCCATTCCTTGTTGGGGAGAGATTCGAGGGAGAATGAATTGACGGTGTTCAGTATAAGAGGTTGGACGGACAAAACTTAACTCGGGAGGGATGCGGGTCTTCTTTTGATGGTTTAATGGTTTTTCGTCATACCCAAGTAGGCTAAGAAATTCTTACTTTTATTATATCAAATTTAAGGGTTTATAAAAAAATAAAGAAGAAAATAAATACGAAGTTTCTCGCACATAAACAATTAAAACAATTTTGAAAATGAATTTGTTCTATACGTATATATATATATATATATAATATTTTCACCTGTAAAGAAAAAAATTTTTAATGGGAATGACATGCAATGAATGTTAACAAATATGTATATAAAAACTATAATATCTGATTATAGCATTATAAATACAAGATTCGTTAGATTGCCCTCACCCCGGCAATAAAGGCAACCGCAAACACAGACACAACAAGATCACACCGACAAACATCAACGCAACTGTAACGAAAGGGGCGCTTGCGGAAAGGGGTCTATCACACACTAAATTAGTTTTTTGGGTATAAAGAAATGGAAAAAAAAGGGAATGGAATCCTGCTAAATCAAGATAGTTAACAAAACACATAAAAAAATTATGGTGAGAATTTGATTAAAATTTGATTAAAATTGTTAATTAGTAATAAGCTAACTCAAGCAATTATTTGAGGAATTTATTTTTTTGCGATTTGCGACATTCCTTTTTCCATTTTTTAAGTCCATATATAGCTGGTCCCCCTATACGTTGAAATTCTTTCCAGTCTGTATCAGTCCAGGTCTTGATTGGCCCTCTTCGCTTTTGACGCCAACCATCACAGAGTTTAGCAAGTAACGAAATATGCGTCAACTCTTGTGGTGCACGACGAAGAACGTGACTTAACCATCGAAGGCGATGCACTGTGATAACATTATTAACATTATTAATAATCCATATATCTTAGACATGAGTGGTCAAAGGCTGATAGCTTTTTAATATCTTCTACTCTCATTGGCCATGTTTCGCAGCCATATAGCAAGATCGAATGAACCTATATGAACTCGGATTCCTTATGATAATTTCTCGGTTTCATAAAGGTTTCGTCAACAGGAAAAACATATTTCTAGCTGTCGTTATCCGAATTACAATTTCATCCTTTGCCTGGCAATTTGGGATTAGAGTGGATCCAAGGTATGTAAAATCGGGCATTTCCTCAACCGGCAATGGATTGATAAAAATAGGTATTTTATTCAGCATCTTGTATGTATGACGAAAACACATTATATTGAATCCATTGATTTTGAGTCCATTTTTCCTTGCAGTTGTTGATTATTTAAAATTGTTTGCATTTCATTATAACTGTCAGCAAAAAGGACTACATCATCAGCGTTTTCGAGGTCTATGATGCTATGCTCTGGACTGATTTGCACGTTATATGTAATGTAATGCCATTTTTTTTTGTTATACCATGAGCATATAAAATGAGCTTTTGTTATATTTACAAGTCATATGCTTTAGCTTAAGCTTTATTATATTTTGTTTATCATACTGTGCTACCGACTTATCGAAAGTTTGATAAATTAATTTGATAAATAAATTTCTGGAAGAATGTAAATTCCGAAAATGTGTAATTTTAAGTATGTAGTTTTTTCGATTTCAGAGAATTTTCGCCATTTTTTTTGTATTCAAAGGCTGCATTTTAAAGTTATTTTTAATGTTTCATTCATCCATTCTTATTCGTAATTGATATTTTAGAAAATTCAAAAATTCAATTCAAATGTTCATTCATTTCAGATATTTGTTACGATTTGTTCATTAATGCCATTTATTCGTCGACAACGGATTCGCCACAACTCGAAGTATACTTTAAACAATGGAATGCCTCCACCATCGGATGAAAATTTGTGATCAAATATTTGCTTATTATTATTTTATTAATTGGTTATTATAACTAATTTTGTTTTAGTGATAATTTCGATCGCAATAATTTTACATTTGCGATTTTTGCATTTTTTTTTTGAATTTTTACAAAAATATAATAAAATGTTAATGTAAAATGATTTTTCCTAGAAATTTTCGTTAGAGAATGTTTTCATTCAAGGAGACTAAATTGAAAATAACTTGAAAATCATCATCGTAACAAAATAAAATGCCGAAAATTTTCGATTATTTTTGCAAAATTTTGGCAGTGAAAGAAATGGTTCTTTATAAAATTTAGTGGAGAATGCATTTTCATTGGACCCTAAAATTTAAAATTTTATTCTTTTTTTGCTAATTTAGGAGTATTTTTTTATTTTTTTTGGCAAATAAATAATTAAGACATATCTAACATTTTCATTAATTAAATAAAATGAAATGGTCAAACTAAATTTAATAATTTTCGATGACCAAATAATCAAACGGTGTGCATATTGGACGATGGTCATCATAGATTCGATTTCCGCCTGTCTTTAATGAGAATAAACGTGTCATTAAAAGTGAAATTTGAGTGATACTGAACCTATCTGTGTCCTCCCGTGAATCTTTGGTAATCAACAAAGCCAGCTCAATCAGAAGGAAATAAGTGAGTGAATATTAGAAGCCACCAATGCGTGGGCAGAGGAATTATTTCGAAGAGCTTTCCTGACACTCAAAACCAAGCAATTATTTATTTTGTTGTGAAATTATTTATTTGTTTTTATAGGATAAATAAATCTCACTTTTTGCAAATTTTTTTAAACGAATTACTTGAGGCCGAGAATGGTCAAGCGGTATGTCCTTCGACTGAGTGTTGTGAATTCAGATTCTGTCCTTCTATGTAAGTAATTATGCGAGTCATTAAAGCCAGTGCAATCCAAAAGGTAAGGTACAAAATATTTGTACTTTTTCATTCTTTATCATAATCGTATCATTCTAATAGTTAGTAGAGTCTACCAAACCTGAAATGGCGAAAGTCCGTTAAGCTGTAACCTGAACTGGATTCATAAGGATTAGCTTAGTGGCCTAACGAGAAAATTTATTAAAAATATTTAAGTTTGTTATTCGAATTTCGTTCCACTTTATTGATCGGTCAAAATTTGATTTCAAATTATCGTATTCTGCGTATTGTGTGGTGGTTGTTTGGTCAACTTATTAAGTATCATTGATGTTTTACAAAACGAGTTCTTTTCGCCATCAGTCCTGAACAAATTGTTAATGAGGAAGATTATTCTGAGATCAATAGGGTCGTGATCATTTTCTCTTGGCACATTCCTTTCTATACGTACTTTTCTTATGTATGGGTAATAAATTATATTTTGTGCATCTGTTAAAGGCAATCTTCGATGCAGATTTGCTAATTTGCCAACAAGCTATGAGTGTCAGGTGAAAATACTGGTTGCCCATCTATTATACTTTTATCGTCGAGCGACTTTTATCGTAATAGACAAACCAGAAATTGTGTATGCAGTTGAAACGTTCTGAATAGATAAGGCATGAAAATTCTTCGGCTTTCTTTGATATTTTCGTTATTTCTATCGCTTTGAGTTGTTTCATACATTTTTGAATTATATTTTTGGTAACTTTAATCAATTATTATTGCTCATTCAAGATAGTTGTTTGCTCATTTCACATGACAAAGTTAAAAGATCTGTCGCCAGATGACCTTTAGAGCTAGTAATTGATCCATTTTTGAGTCGTTAAACCTCTAAAATCCCGTCAAAATCTTTTGATTTTTATTTTTATAAATGTATATCATGATTATTAATAATTTATAGAAATTTTTAGAGCTATTTTCTTTCTTTCCTTTAGATAAATTCTTTGGTACTAAAGAATCTATAATTTTTTATTTCTATAAATTCTTTAAATTCATAATATAGAAATATAAATTAAATATACAGATGAGGGATGAATGAAAATTTATATGAAATATGGTGTAATAGCATTATTGTTAAAATTGAATGGTGTAAAGAAATTGTTGAACTGTTTAAAAATAATTTTAACAGTAATAGCATGGATGGATTAATGGTGTCGAAAACGTTAAATAATGATCGAAAACAATATATGAATGAGAAAAATGGTAAGGGAAGTGACACCAAAGCTTTGAGGAGCTGAGCAGTACCATAAAATTTTGGACACTTCTATGTTTGTTCAGTTTTACCACACTTTCGAAAATATGGAAATCTAATCTAAAGTCGGGAGGTTTACATAATAGAAGGAAGGAAGAAGGAAGGATTATAGAGTTAGAGGAATTTAAAATATTAAAAAATGCCATCATAATACGTCGATTGATTTTACGATCGAAGGGGTTTCTCTCATTTGTGGATTATGTTCACGACAAATAGATTAATTTATCGAGAACTATTATTTGTAAATAATCTGGTCCTGTTAGTGATTGGCATCGCCTATACTTGTCTTTATGTGGATTTCTGGCGGAAGGTTTCATTCCCAATAGTCAGCCATCTAATCTAGCAATACTAACACAAAAAGAAGAGGACAAAGGATGAGGCAAAATTAATATAATTTACAAAAATTACGAAGCTGGATGCAATCATATGAGACTCTGTCCATTTGGTGATATATATATATATATTCACCAAAATATCTAAATAGAAAAATATCTAAATAGAAAAAAATTTTTGCTAAATCTCGTCGAATGATTTTAAATAAACAAGTTTTACTTAAGTACCACATGCACCACATTTTCGCATGTTCACCATTTTTTATACGATATATAATTTATATATACATTATATATACAATATATCATTATATAATTTTTCATTTAATTTTGTTAAATGCTAAATTTTTATCATGCGAAATATTATATGAATATTGTAGCACTGTATTATTGATTGTGCTATTAGAAGATTCAAATAATCCTGAATTTTTGAGTTAAGTCTCTTCAATTTTGAAATTTCTTTCCATAAAATAGCGAAAATAAGTTGAATTTTAGGACCTACGATGGTCGAAAATGGATTTGTTATTTCCTTTACTTTTATGTAATTTCATTCCATTTAAGATCTCCAAATAAAGTTTTCACTGAATAAGAGAGTGGAACATGCTTTGATTGAGGGCAGAAGAATATTCGATTCACCTCTCTTGCCAGGAATAGAAAGTAAAATGTGAAAGGTCGACGGGGATCCATTGATCAATTGAGTAGCAGCCTTTTCAGAAAATAAAGCAATGGAAAATATAATGGAAAATGAGTGAGTGCCTATGATCAAGTTGGTCCGCGATTACAAAACTTTGACTTATTCCCGAAAAGTTCTTCGAGTTTATAGGAATAGAATTTTATTTTATGGTACAATTTTCTTGCTGTGAAAATTCCATAGATTTCATAGCTGATCCATTTTGAAGCAAACAGCCATTTTATGGTGCCTTCCTCCAAAATAATTTATATCGGTAATTTAATTTTTCGGATTACTCAAAGAGACTTGCCTAATCATTCTCATTCGGCTCGGTCATCTCGTTGTCATAGTTCTAGTCTTTTGTTAACTTTAGCGAGCCAATTATTTATGGCAATGAATTATCAAAATTATTTCAAGAGAACTACAAATTATTAGTTCATATAAATTAGAAAGTACATTTTTTGATTTTCATTAATAACCTCATATGTTACAATAAATAAATTAATTAATTAACCTTTAAACAACGAAGTGAGACGCCTCGCTTACCAAAATAAAAAATAGCATTTTTTAAAACAAAAATCTGCAGTCAAAATTCGTCGAAAAACCTAGAAAGTATTACAAAGAAACAGAATTCATGGATTCGTAATTTTGATTGATTCCCGAAAGTGACGACATTAAAGTTCTAAGTTCAAACGTCCTATGATAGCAGTGGAGGAAAGCATTATTGTCCTATCGTTTTAAATTATTTGGCATTTTTACAGCCCATTCATCTATCTATTTTTCTATCATTCTTGTCACAGTTTATTTGCCCAATTGATATTGCCTGATTACAGTTCGTATTTGTTCGAACTGTAAGTACCATTCACTATTGAGTATCTACGAAATTAAATTAAACTGAGGTCGGGGTATGAATTTTAAATGCTGGCGAAATTCGAACTTTTTTTGTTTTTTACAAAATTGCTCGATCAGTCAGCTTTCTTTGTTTTGATAAATTATTAGTCATTTAATCTCAATTTTCTAAATTAATCATTTCTTATCATTTTTCTTTAAGAATGACATAATATTTATAATATTATAATATTTTATCCAGTAGGACTTTACTTTAAATGATAGGTTTATTTCGGATCTCGGCCAAGAGAAACGAATTGATTGCTTCATATTAGTCAAAGTAATTACTCGAAGACTACTTCTTTATTCGCATCTTATCACCTTATCTCTCGTTTTATATTTTCGTTTTCATTTTATGTTTATTTTAAATATTCTTAAATCAACACATTTTGCACATTTGCCTTCTTTTTTTAAATGTACCATCTGAAACATAACGAATGAGAAAACTCAGATAATCATTCTTTACAGACTGCATTCAATGATTTCAGCACAAAAAAACAGTAAGCAGTGAAGCTTAGTTTAAAAGTGATTTTGAGTTAATGAGTTAAAGAATTGCGAAATTTAATTTTATTGCTTATGAAAGTTTTTTTGCCATTCATTCATTCTTAATTGAAATTGAAACATGGATAGCGGAATGGATAGTGAGTCGTGTTTTTTTAGATTCTCATGTTGGGAGGCAAAATTCCTACCGAACAAATTCATGAAAAGTCCTGGTAATTTAAAAAAATTGGTGCTGCAGCTGTTCTATTTCTATTTTTTCCAGAAAATTTCTGATAGCGACGTTAACACAAGCAGAAATGGTGGTGTTAAGCAAGCACTTAATTAGAGCCTCCATCCAGAAAAGAAATTTTTATAGCCACGCAAAAATTTTTATAAGAAATTGGTTGATGAAACGATTCAACAGCCGGTTTTCCACTTTTTGATTTAATTTTC